TTAAGTATGGGCTGACTTTCTATAAACACATCTTGATAATTCCCCTGATCGAATGACTGAGTAACTAACAAATATGGTTTAAAAAACTTTAGAAAAAAACAGAGAACGAACCAGCAACAGAATCACTACATGACGCATTCCCTTCCTTCACATCCGACTTCTCAGAAACCAAAGTTACATCGATTCCGACAATTTCTGACGAGACATCAGCTTTTTGCAAGGCAGCTAGTTTGTTACGTTCGCAGTAACGTTTGATGTCTTCGTAATACCGTCGGAAGTCCTCCTGATATTGCCGTACCTGTACAACTGCGCATTCGCCTACACTCGTTGTACCACACTAAATACACGAACCGTGCTAACTGCCCTAACTCAAGGATAGAAACAGAACCCTTCATTTAAGAAAATTTTCTTTGAAAAGTGGTTACTGAGAAGAGTTCAGAATCAAAAACCTAGTTCACAATACTGAATATCATTAATCGATTTTACAAATCTGACAAAGGAGGAACACTTGGTCGAGTGGTCGAAGTGGCCATTCGAAAAAGGATACGAAATGTTAAATGCAACTTGAAACACTGAATTCAAATCTGCTTTCCGTAACTGCGAAGCAATTCTGTGAAAGAAATTGTGAAAGTATTTTTATGCATTAAGCCTGTACGTCTCGTCAGTAATCGCTCTAAGCACCTTCATCCTGGAATAACAAGCAAATGGTGAATTTATTGTAAGAACAACTTTCCAAACTTTGCGTTGCTGTTTTTGTTCGAGTTGAACTTGTGCGCAATCTAGCCCAAGTTCTTCAAGCTACTTTTGATCAAGAAATGATGCCTATAACTTTTGACAGAGAAACGCTTCACAGATACGGAAGGCAGAATTAATCAGCGTTTCACGTTGCAGTCAACAGTATTCACCTCATTCTAAATTGCCACTTCAAAGAAGTATCTGTCCCTTGTAAGAAATCACATCTTCGCCGGAACTTTTTGATGGAGTTCTATAAAGGGTCTCAGAAACTATACAACAATACCCTGCATGACAAATACGCACTATTGATAAATGAGTTTCCTCAAATAACCAATCAACGCAGCAATCATCAAATCTACTGCAGCATGAAAGGCATACTTATTCAAAACAAATGCTTACACATTAGCTGCACTTTAAGCGCATGCACAAAGAGAAGGTAAATAATACTCAAAACCTGAAACTTCCCGGTGTTCCTGGAACGAATGTAACAAAAAAAGCAGAAGAAAAGAAAATGGCCACTTTTAACAGTTAGAAGCAGAAGCAGCAAGTTTGATGGATCGAGTGTGGTGAAGAAGACAAGATACACAATCGTCGATGAGAACCGTATTTGGAAAATCTTTGTTCCTCTTTGAAAGAGTAAAAGATAGCGTGTGGTGATTAGGTGAAGTACCGCCAATTATGTGCGGGTGAAGCTGCGCAGTCACAATAATCGGCATACTGACAGTTCCTCTAATTTTATATAAAATATAAAAACTATAACTTAATGCTTGATAACAACTATTGTTCAACAAGCAACGACGACTGTGTATTTGACTTTGAAAGCCCTACCCAAAAAACTCTGCAACTCACCTTGGCATTCGTAGGAACAACACAGCTCTGGTCTAAATTTAGCAACGATATGGACTCATTAATTTTCATTGCCGAATGAATTGCAAGCAGTCCGGCAGACCCTTAATCATCACGCATAGATGGTGATGCAGCAATCAAACAAATTAACTATCCCAAGATTACGCATGTACCACTGAGTAATCCTGTTGAGAAAAGATTCTTAAAATTTCACCTATTGCCGGATTATCCCTGAGATCGACACGTATTAGTGTCGAATTATCGGCAAGACATTCGGCCAATAGTATTGCACCTAAACAGCTGTTATCGTGACACACTCACAACAACCCTGATTATGAGATCAAGTGTAGTACGCACTTTGACAAGTCATTTGAGTATTCTGAAGGCCAAGTCTGCGAAGATTGCTACCATTAGCTCCTAATGCAGGACGTAAACGCTGTACGCCGGATTCACCAAGCGGATTACTTCCGATGTTAAGAGTTTCCAAATGAGGATTTTCGCACTAAGATATAGAAATAAGAGCTTTTCATTCAGATTCACCTGAATGAACTTTGATTAAAATGTTACCAAGGCAGCAGTGATTGTATCCATTCCAGCTGCAGTTATTTTATTATTCCAAAGTACAATAGCTGTCAAAGCGCTCTTCTTAATGACTTCCGGATTTCGCAGTGCTTCGAACATTTTAGCAACGCCAGCATCCTAAACATTACTTCCAATTACTTTGACAAATTATAGAGCCCTTAGATTGGTGAAGCTAGAAGGTTTTCTTTTGACCCAAAAAAGCTTTAAAGTTTTCTCACCCCTAGTTGATTATTGCGCAAGTCAATCATTTGTATAGTGAAGTTATTCAATATCAGCTGATAAAGATGGGCTCCATCGGCGCTTTGTATACTATTTTCGCCGAGATAAAGCTCCTGAA